GGCCCGTTATAACTTGATGGTTTAAAGCTTCTGTGAACAGAGATGAGAAAACATATTTTCTTGTTGTCTCCTCTCCAAAGGTTGTTCTACTTTTGTTTTGCTTTTATTTTTTAACTGGAACTCCTTCCAAATACTCACTGTGTTTGGAAGGCTAAATAAAGTGAACTGAAGGAAAGGCACACTTCATCCTGTGAAGACATCCTCTTAGGATCTTAGAAGAAGATTTTTGTCATGATTATTCTCAGGCTTGCAATTTTCACTCTGCAGTGGAAAGTGTCTTAAGGTCTATGTGGCTGGTCATACCTTCAAATCCCTCAGATTTTAAAATAGGGCTGGTCAACCATCAACGTGTGTCTACAAATGGCCTACAGGATTTAATTAAAGATTCTCGTTCAGATGCCAAAAATAACAAAAAACAATGCCTGGAATAGATGAGGAAGCAGCAGGCTGGTTTTTTTTCTGTCATTGTTTTCCTCCATATGTAACTACCACATTCCAAGAGCAGAAAATAATTAAAAGCTAAGGGAGTGGAAATTTGAGAATTGAGAATAGCTAAAGTAGCACTGATACGTTTGTGAAAATAATCTTTGTTCTTTTGTTTCATACCAAAAAAAAATGGTCTGTGAAGAATCAAATTCTTTGCATCCCGCTGGCTTAAAAGTTGTATTGCTGAGATATTCAGTTGCCATCAGACTGATTCCAGAAGGATCAGACAATATATTAATTGCCTTTTCTAATTCCAAAGACACTGTAAAATCATACCAATATTATAACTGCTGAATTATACTGTAGTTTATAATGTGTAATTTCTTGTCTAATTTTAGACTGCAGAACTAGAGGACAGTTTAATGCTTTTTCATATCACTTTCGGGGAAGACGCTCTCTTGATTACAGCTTTCAGGAGGATAGGCCCATGAAGAAAATAAAAATGTCCAAAACAGTAAGGTGAGATTTTATTTTTTTTTTTAAAGAATGAAGAAGTGGTTGTTTTCAGAATGGAATGAAATTGAATGTTTTATTTGTAAGCGCATACCACTTTTTTCCAGTGTCTACTTTCTCAAGTTTGTGATGGCTGTATTTCAGTATGACACTTCCACATATCAGTAACCCACTTTTTTTTCAAGCTCAAATTTGTGTAAGATCCTTTGTGTGTGACATAGTATAATGCTTTTGTTGTTCCTGTGCTTTTCCTGGAAAAAAAACAGTAATGAAACAATTTAGGGGTTTGGAATCCCACATTCCTACTGTGCCTGAAGTAATCAAAGTAAATTATTTCCTTTTCTTCTTGGAGCTGCTGGGTTCTCCTGTAGAAACAGGAGGAAATGAAGTGTTGATAACACTAGCAGTAAAAATGATGATAATGCTAGAAATTGTTTCTAGTACCAAAATACTCAGCGCAGGAATGGAGAACAGTGGTGCTACAGACAATGTTGTTTATAACTCCCTAATCATCAAAATATTTTAGCAAGGAAGTAAATCACAACATCAGTCACAAATGATCAACTGCACAGGGTCTCTCCAATTTCCAGAGAATCGAAGCTTATCTATAAATTAGTGACATGAAGTGAGTTCTGCTCAGATCAAACATTTCTTGTGAAAGATCCTTCACAATGAGTGAATTTGAATTCTTTTGAATTGTAGCTCGTTCCATATAGTTTGTGTTCTTTTAGAAAATAAAATTATCTACTTGATTGAGATGACCCAGCAGAGTCTACCCAGTCTGGCAAGGAAAGCTGCTAGACAGATAGGTAGAGAGGTAAGTTCAGTACTTTCAAATGCTTGTACAGATATTATAGCAATGAAGAAGTACCACCATTATATTTCACTTAACTGGGAGGAAGCTGCCCTGAAGTAACAGAGCCGTTAGGTTTTAGGATTTTAGACAAGAGAGGACAGCAGCTGAGTATAAGCTTACTAATAGACAATAGAAAAAGAAAAGTTTCCTTTGAAGTAATCTTTGCAGAAGGATGTTTCTTCTGTTTTTGCAAGTGAGCTGTTAGAAGATTTTAAATATGCAAAAGAGCATTTCACTTTTTAAATATGCTAGTCCCATAATTCTAAAACTTTAGAAAGTTTACATGAAATAAAAATGAAAGCAAGAAAAAAGAAATGCTTATATCTGTGAAGCAGCTAATTTTCATTAACTTGATATTTGACAGTGTTTCAGAAATTAATCTCAAAAATCTGCAACAGTCCAATTACTGATTAGGACTACAAAACAGTAAATTTGCAACACTTTATTTGTAGCATAAAGCTAAGGAAACTTCAGTCCTTTAACATTCTCATCAGTTCTCATGCTCATTGTTGTATTTAAATTGCATTTGTGGTGAGATTTTTTTTTTTCTCCTTTTTTTTTCCTTCTTATTTTCAAGAGCTTGAGCAAGCTGGGAAGATTTTGTTATACAATAGCAGCTGGTTTACTTGAATTTTGGCATGTTAAGTTGTTTAGAGTTTCCTTTTTCTTTAGTTTAGATGAGAAACTCTGGGAAACGAAGTAGCTTGAACACCTGCCAATAAATGCTGGTTTAATTTTTGCAGAAAGATTATAAATCATGAGACCTATTATATGAGAGAGGATTTCACTGCCAGTTCATTCTTTGGGTATCCCTTAGATCTGGAGAAGACATGCTAATAAAATAGGAATGCTTGCATGGATCTTAATGTAATAAATGACTTAATAATTAGTGTTATCATTGTTTTTTGAATATGTTTTATTAAGTGGTGCCAAAGAATATATTATTAGTTCTGGTCAGTTGATAGCTGTTTCCCTTTGACAGATTGATTAACATAATTTAGTGTTGTACATCTCTTATCAGATATTAACTAGGAAGTGCTATATACAGAAGACTTTAGATTTTGTGTACAATAATCAGTTAGTTAGTTAGTACAATAATCAAATATTAGTTAAATTGGGACACAGGAGTATGGTCATATCTAAAAGTACGCATTTATTTATGAAAACTATCTTTTTCCTTTTAGAAGTTGTATTTATTTAAATACACATTTTGCTAATGAGCGTATAGAGGGAGAAACTATGAATCTGAAATGTGAAATGTTCATTTTATAGTTGAAAGTAATACTTTTTAAGACTTCCACTTTTGTCTGCTTTCATATTGGAGGCTCCAGAGATTTCCTAGTGAATTCAAGATGATACTTCACAGTGTCACTGATGGCACTTTGTGTGTCTCTCTGCATGAAATACATACGTTATTCTAAGCAGAACAAATTCCCTGTTGCTAGTGACATTAACCCACAGCTCACCTGATGTGAGACTGCCTTCAGTACCAGTGGGTCTCATGTGCTGCTATGGTTCATCTATTTCCACCATTTGTTGATTTCTTTTATTTTACATTTTTGCTAAGTGTTTTAAGATATCTAGCCACATAAAAATGAGTTAGATTAATATCCTCACTTGGCATTAATTTGTTGCAGTTCTGTGAAACAGAGTAAATATTTTCGTAATGCCACGTCAGCATCTAATGAAAATAGAAACATGCCCGCAGTGAATGACTTCAAAGAATTCGTTTTGGAAATGCAAAAAACTATATCAAGCCTCAGAAACCAGGTAAGGGGCTAAAATGGGTAGTTTCTAAGTATAGATTTAATTTATAATGTTTTCCTAACATCACTCCCCTTATGTTTTTAATATTTAGATAGCTGTTGCACCCAAAACTCATCACATAGTATCTCAAACAAAACACAACAAAGAACATGATATGTTATTAGTCTTTATTTCTATGTTCTTTTGAAGTCATACTGAAATTTTCTACAATTAAACCCTCTTGATGTTTGAACCTGAAGCCTGGTGTAACCATTGTGTACTAAATGAGGAATTAGTCTTTCCATAAAAATTTGTCTGTCAAGTTAATAAAATCTTTTTTTCCTACCTGAAATGTATAAAATCTATGTAAAACTGATTAGAATGTAGAATTCTTATGAAGTAATATGGCAGACTACAACTATAACCATAGTTAAGATCTAGATGACCCAGAGAAGGCTTTTACAATGTGATATAAATACTCTATTCAGAATAACTCAACCCTAGTGGAACTCAGTTTTAAAAATGGATACAATACAGGACAGACAAATTCAAAGTAGACCAGAAATGTTTGCCTAGGATAATTCAGTTCCACCAGAGCAGCTTTTCCATGTAATTTATAGATACGAATCATATATTTATTTGCATAGTAACTTGAGTCCATCTTTAATGGTATTATTTAATCATTGTTGTACTCATCTTCAATACTCCCCTTTTGATAGTGGAAATGCTATATTAACACTTGCTACATTTCAGTCAGTTATTCTGTCTGTATTGGATGTCAAAAACACTGAGGGGTTGTTAAAAATTGTGCTTTCCTTGTTATTGCTTCCAAGTAGAACACAATTAGCAAGATAAACTATTCATTTTTTTTTTCATGGTTAAGTTAAAAATAGAGATAGAAAAATATCCAATCATTTTAAATTGACTTTTTCTTTTTTTAATTTCAGCTCTTTTTCATTCAGGCATTTTTGAAAGTTTTGATTTATCTTTTCACATATATCACATGTAGTTTGCTTTTCCTCTTATGCTCCAGACGTTTATTCCAATGGTAGGAAAGACAGATCTTCTGTTAGTTTTTTTTTTTTTTTGAAAGGTTGTTTCCGTACATATTACCAGTTTCCAGTCTTTTAGCATTATGAAAACTAAGTAATGAGAAGAAAACTGAAGGCAAGTATCTGTAATGGATTACACAGCATAAAAAAAAAGACAGAATATGTTGCACAAAATAAAAAACTTTCTTTGATTGAATTCCTAACTTTTAAAAATGTTTTCAGATAAAAAAACTTGAATCACGCCTCAGTAAAACTGACTGCACTGATGAAAAAGGTAAATCATACTCCAGCAATGAAACCTGGAAAAGGGACCCTTGCACTGTGTGTGAATGCAAAGTGAGTATGCAGAAATCCAATTTGAGACAGAAATAATTAATTGTAATTCAAATATATTAATTGGTTATGTTAAAGTAATTAAATATATTAACTTAGAAGCAGAAGGTGCTGCTTCTAAAACAGATGTTCCAGTTTTGTGCCTGCTAATTTCTGGGTAATAATTGCTGGGTGTTTTTTTTTATGGATCTTCAGTTATTTGGTGAAAAATAAAAAACCAATATTGTTCAGATATCCCTGCCCTTGACTCTGATTTTCAATCTAGGCTTTATATACCTTTATTATATTTCCATTTTCATTGATGTATAGTTGTACTGGCAAAATTAAATTTGTTACACACAAAGAGCCTTCTCAATACGAGTTTATGCTGAAATAAGCTACGTGGAGTTAATCATAGTAGCCGAGGTCTTGCAGAAGATGAATGAGAACTTGTTCTTCAATAATATGAAATGAGTATTTCTTCTTTGGAACATGTATCTAAGTATGTTCTGGTTTTGTTGCTTTTTCCCTGACACAGGTTGGTCAGATTACCTGTTTTGTGGAATCATGCCCGCCGGCTGACTGTGAAGCACCTGTGAAGGTTAAAGGAGATTGCTGCCCAGTCTGCTTAAAACAAAATATTAATAAAAAGAAGCCATAAGTCTACTTTTTAAGAATCTAGGGTGCATACTCAAATCATATCAATGCCTGCTGATGGCAAAACCAGGTAACTACAGTCTTAACAGCAGCAAGAAATCAAGATTTACAATATCCTAATGGTGCTGTAGCAGTATAACATAATGTATCCTTTTATTTTCTGCCCATGAAGGTAATCGCAATGCAAAAATTTAACAAAAGGGAAATTAGCAAACAGGTCAAAGTTAATCGTGTGTTGAACTTCTCAGGTTAGACAAACTCAAACTGGTGCTACTTTGAAAGAACACTGTCAGGTAATTTTAGGTACACAAAAATGACAGGGCTTAAGACATACTCGAAAATGAACTCTTTGTTTCCTATCTTTAATTAGCAACATTAGAAGTTTACTATTCCTTTTCAGTATCAGTCTGACTTGATGTTTAGCTTTATGTTATTATTTAGTAAATGCAGGGAAAAGGAAAATACAAGGTCACTGTGCCCAAAACAATGCCATAGAGGGCCAGTTTCTGCGAACACCTATGCATGGAGATTCTGTTGAATCACACTTCCATTTCTGCATCTGGAGCAGCAAGGAAATAAAGAAAACTACATGACAGCTTTCAGCATCCTTTCATTAACTCAAGGAGCAAAATTAATCAAAATTTTCAAACTGAAAAAGCTAGAATTAATAAAGAAATCTAAATAAATGTAATTGGCAGATTGAAAAACCAACCAAAAGTGTATTACAGATGTAATTGACAGTGTTCCTCATTCTAGGAAAACATATATGACAGAGTAGCATTTGATCTTAAAATGAACGTAATCCTTTTTGTCAAAACACACGGAATTGCTTGGCAACTTTTTTTGTTTGTTCATCACTGTAACGTGACCATCCAGCCTAGTTTTAAAGCACGGTTCTCTTACTCTCAAATCAGCTCATGTATCTGCATGGCCCTGTTTTGCAAATGTGAAAAGATGTCACATGCCATTTTGTACACAAAGATTCCTACTGATTCATTGTGCGTATTGTCAATAGACATATGTTCCTGATTATATTGTGGCACTGTTTGTTGAAAAAAAAGAACAATCAAAAATCAAGCATCATGGTTAATTGTGGATTGACTACTTTTTCTGACAAGGTATCTGACTTTTCTTAATTTTTTTTTTCCAGTTTCATCTAATGCATATATATTTTTACCTCAATATTTTTATCATTCATGTTAAAAATGGTCTGCCAATGGACTTTATTTCCCATTTAATAAATGTTTAATGTTATAGAGTATATGTCTACACTAGCATTTCAAAGTTGCGTGCTTTTTAGAATGCAGTCTGCATATTTTTGACCAGGAATTATATATTCAGTGAAGGACAACTATCATACCTCATTTTGCAGCTTTTTTTGTGTTTATTCAAAATTGATTCTTTCCTCAAAAACTTAATATGTTAGAACTTCTGGCTCTGTCCTTAAGTCCAGAGTCAGGACTAATTAGAACCAGAACTCTTCTTTACTTATATAGTTCACTGACTTGTGAGATTATTGTTCAAATTTAGTGAACAGAGATTTGAGTGTCAAAGAAATCTGCACAAAATTAAACATTTTCATCTTAAATACTTCAGATTATACAAACAGACTGAATACTTAATTATTGTATTGTAGATCAAATGCCTGTCTAATAACTAACTTAGCAGCAGCAATAGGAGTTCCACTATAGCATTTTGGCACATAATTTCTGATTACTAATATTAATAATTTCTAATTTGATAAACTGATACCGTGACATACATTCAAACTTTGGTGTATCTTTAAAGCTTACTACAGAAACTTGCTTCATACTATGGTAGGAGCAATATGTGCATGTGAGTGGTGTGGTAAAGGTGTGTGGTAGAGGTACACATGGGACGACAATTTATATTTTTAAGAATATTTTAATTGATTTTATATACAGTGTTTTGACGTATGTAATTTTCTATGTTAATACTTTTAGAAATTGTGTGTGGCGAGCATGTTTCAGTACCATATGGGTTCCTGAGGTTGTCATTCCTTTATTTCTTTGATACTCTGGCATTTTGTTGACTTTTGTTGACAGTCCAAACCACATGTCTCGTCCCGTAATTCCAACTCAGATGGAACTCCCTTTGACCTATAGCACAAATCCCTCAAAGAAAGATTGCAGAGATAAACCAAATATAATTTAACTGTTTAAACAGTTAAATCAGGCAGTAACACATCCAGCTGGTTACTACTAGCTTTCTTTTATTCTCATTTTATGTTAAATAAACTTTCTTAGGTTTCTGCTTGTAGGAGAAGAGAGTTTCCATTTATACATTATGAAATAGTACCTTATATCTGATTGTTCCTTTTCTGCAGCCTCCAGAGTAAAGTGGGAGGCTTTCTTCCTTGTTCACTGTTTATTCCTATGGTATATAAAATGGGCTTAGGAGTCTGGATATGCTTAAACAAGTGTAATATTGAGTTACTTTCTGCCATCCATCTGATTATAAACCATTCAGGAAAAACAAGCCTTTATCCACAGTTTAAAATGTAATCAGTCATGGGTTGTACTAATCCAGTTTTATTGCAGCGTCTGTGGAATCAGCATTGATTTTACCATTTCTGAAACAGCAGCCAATGGCTAGATGACCATTTCCTCAGTATCCACTGTGAGAATATTGCTGTAATATGTTGCAAATTTTACATATTTATTTTCTTTTTTAATGTTACCTAAAACAAAGACTTTGTTGTTTTTGTTTTAATCAGTAAATTTACCAAAGAACTGTTTGCACTGTATAATGAATGCTTTTCAGTTAAAATAAAATGGGCCACATTTCCAAGTAAATTCCAAGTGATTTCTTCTCAATACATATATTGTTTAGGTTATTTGCTGAAGATTCCATTGTATAGGCTTTTATCAAAGATCCATATTACTTATACAGGACAGTAATGATCATGACTCCATTTCTGAGAACTAAGCAATGAGCTAATGATTCATGTAGATTCAATAGGTTCTTTAATATTATGACACATAGAATTAAATAAATATCTATTCACTGTTCTCTTATAGATAATGGGGAAAAAAAAATACATGTAGACCCAGAAAGGATATTTTTAAATGTACTTTTTTCTTAGTGCAAACGTGTTTTTGAAAACATGTTTTAGTGCTGAACACTTTTTTTCCTTTTTTTATGGGAATGTCATAATACTTACATGCAGCCTGTTTTTACTCAGTTTCTTCACTTCGTCGCGTCATCAAATAGATCAAGTCATGACCTGCCTTCCAATGCACTTGACTGTCCATTCATTCTTTATTGATGGCATTCACAAATGGATATCAAGGTTCATACAATCTCAGCTCAAAATGAGTCTTCTGTGCAAAACAGATATTCTTATTTACCTCATCTTGTTTCTCCATCACAGCATATGAATTGCTGCTGAAGACATGATGAGTTACTGTCATCCTTTGGTGAGGTGTCAGGATCTCCAGGGCACTGGGTCTGTTCTTTTGTTAGGTCCACCTGAGATTAATCTGTTTCTCCACAATTTCATACAGTAAAGCATTTTATGATGCAATATTATTGCAATTAATAGGATTCTAAGTTGTCTTACAGTGAAATAGGAAAAGTTAAAGATGGACTTCAAGACACAGACTGAAGAATACTTTTCAGGTTGCAGTTAACTGTGCTTCACTATAATTTGAGTATTGCATAAGACAAATCTAGAAAAGCAAAACTGTAAAAGGTTCATTAATGTGTTTTCCAGCAGGCTGCTGAAATACCCTGTTGCTCTTCCAAAATGCTGATGAGTAGTATTCGGTCACTATCCTACAAGATTTTAGGACAATCAGATTATATTTTTTCTCCAAATTCAGATAAAATTAGTTTGGCAAAGTACTGGTATACATTCTTCCAGTAACTGAGATCAGTAATGCATGCTTCTTTTAGCAGACATAGTTACTAAATTCCTAAGTCTAATCTAATAATACACAAATATTTATGTCTCAACAAGGTTTTAGGTTTGATGTTGTTTTTTTGGGGTTTTTTTTCTTTGTTTGTTTGGGGTTTTTTTGTTTGTTTGTGTTTTTTTTTTTTCTTTTCTTTTTTTCATTTTTTTTACCGTGAAACTAAAACACAGATATTTGAAGAGAAGGTTTTGTTTCAGTAAATAATTTTGTGTTAGTCCGAAGAAGACAACAGCCCAGGTTCAACACAGTTAATTGCCGAGAAATTTGCTAACAGTTATTAAAAAAATGAAACCCGAAAGTTTAAACATTCAGAATAAAACTCTTGGAGTGATACTGATATACTTTGAGAAAGATCTGTTGTATTTGAAATGCACTGAGTAAATTGACTTTATTGCTTTTGGTTAATTACAACTAAGAATCATTTGGCCACAGTATGGTTAAAGTTGTCTTTCTAGGGAATGATCTCTCCCATACTCAGTAACTTTATAATCAGTAATCTTTGCAGTGAGATTTTTAGACATGTTGGGACTGTTTCATGGCTTTAGTTTGGAAACTTCAATAAGGATTAAAAGCTGGTATATGTGACTAACTTTCTCAATACTTCTGCATTATTTTGTTGTCATCTTGTTAAGGTGGATTAAATGATTTGCATATACAGCATAATACAATTATAAAATTCCCAGTAGAAAGACAGACTGTTTACTATCCTCTCATGCTCTCTCTCAACTACAGGGTGGGGTTCAGTGAAGTATATTTCATCATTCACTATGCTAATTTTTTAAAAAAGAAAGAAGAGATCTGATATGTGATAAAAAGTTTGTTAGATAGAATATGTCAGAAAAAAACACCAGTATGAGCATATGGACGTATTCATACTGGGAGTCTGTCAGTCTCCCAGTGGAAGGAAACATTATCCACGTTGAAACTAGTGGGAATCAATGAATTACTAAATATATAGTAAATTACTAGATAATAACAACTGTCCTAACCCACTTTCCATTATGATGTACCTAATCAGGAGATTGTACTAAGTTCTGAAAAGAGAGCATTGTCCACTAATAGCATATTTTAAAGCAGACACCCTAGCAGTATCAGCCTGTTAATTTGCAGTTACCCTGGCTGCTCTGGTTCTGTGCAATAGTTACTTTTCTTTCCTTTTTTTTTCACGCTTAGCCTGCTGTGACACAGCAAAGAAACCTCTGCACCTCTGACACACTTTTCTTTTTCTGTTGTGCCCAACATCTTTGTTCCACCTAGCAGTATTATGAATGGTCCTTTGACTGTGCTTTAGCATTCCAGCATGGTAAC